CCTCCTCCCTTCTGGTAACACCGCTGTTTTGCTTTGGCCCACTTTGTAAACTAACTGTAACTGATGTGTGCCCAGAACACCAGGCTGTTGTGTCTCTGAGAGATGATTATAACATGAAATCAGCATGTTGTCTTGTGCTCTCACAAAGTTTCCCCCTCCCCCCCCAAAGTTTACCTCATTATCAACCTCTGTAACTCTGGTTTTTAATGAGGATATCTTTCTGGTGTTTGCTTAAACCTAATAAAGAACATTACACCCTACACACACTCTCATACACACACAGTCACAGTGGGTTTTTGCAAAGTGCTGACAAAGAAATCACTTTAATTCTGCATCTCAGCATCCCAACGGAAAAGAACACAGGAATAACAACCAGCCACGCACATACACTCTGACACACACACACACACACACAGTCTCATACACAGGACAGCAAACACACTCATATAAAACCAGATACACATACATTATAGAACACACATCTGGGTTCTGGTTAAAAGACACATTTCTTACATGCAAATCATACACAGGCACAAACACAAGTGCATGGTTTCTAATACACAGTAACGCTCATGCCGCATGCGCGGTCTTCCAAAAATCATACACACCCCATCACAGAAAGGTACACACAATGCAGCCGAGTTACAGTAGAGGGACTGAGACTAAAAATCACTGCTCATTACTTGGTCTGAACTGTTGCCAGGCTGCCAGGCTCCCCTGAGGTTGCCGTAATTGACTTGTCCAATCCCTTCTTTCAACACGTTATTCTTTCTCCACTTCTTCTGTCCTATGTTTGCCAGAGGGTCCGAGCTGCCGCACAAAAGATATTGGCCACAATGTCAAAACTCTGGAGTAGACAAAAGTGCGCCTCTGTAATGAATACTGCCACACTGCCTGTGTCTGCTCAGGTTTTAATATCCCAAATGTCCACTTCCACTGCTCACAATAATGAATATTTAATACACTTGTCATTGTTCAAAACCCTCCGTTCCCTATACAGATTCAGAGGTCTGGCTTGATTCATCATGTGTGTTAAACATCTTTTCTCCTTTCCATTACAATGAAGCTCCCTGGAGGGTGCAGCAATTGACTATAAGACCTTATTTGAAAATGGTTTTCTTTCTTTTTTTTTTACCTTGACTATTCCACCTGTTGCTGTAGCCAAATCGGAGGAGTTAGTGAGTTGGATTATTTTACCCTGAACTGATTGGTGACTGTGATTGGCCTTCTGCATACCACCATTTTAAGGTAATGCTAAAACCTTCTTTATTACATGAGCTGTTCCTCCACCTCCTATACAAGAGTTGGATCAGCATTGGTGAGATTTGGAAGGTGTGCATGCTGGGTTCTCAGTGAGCTGCTGCAACTTATGAATTCCTGTACACCCTGTTCTGTTTAGGTTTATAGATCTGATATACCAAACTGATGCAAAATACATAAATTCTCAGAACCTACTGTAAGTTGAATCAATTAAAATTGATGGCTGTAGCGTAAACCCTTTATTAAATTATCTGGGAAACACTTGTGTTTCTCGTTTGAGGACCAGTGATGATATGTTGAGTGTGAATGGTCTTTCTTGGATTATAAATTCTGGGTCTAATCACTTGTTTTTTTTTTCTGGAAATTTTAAGCACACCCCACACTGTTCTTCAGTACTTAGACTTTACTTCATAGTCTTGAACCATAGCTCAGCTTGTCAAGTGACCATGAACACCAGCTGGGAAGGGATTACAGTTGTCAACCGTGAACTACTGCACAGCTTAAAAAGATCAGAGTCCAGAGACCATCTCTGAACAGAGGCAGCTGGAAAGATCATTAGTTTTGCAGTAACCTAAGAATTGGATAAATAGAAATGTTGACATGATGATAGCACTGAAAGGAAAACTGGATTACTAAAGTTACATTTACATGGACGTGTATGGAGTTCAATGACAATCCAGCCAGTAGTTGTTCTACATTCTATTAATGTCAAGCTCATAGAGGGATAATTAAGTCTGAACCAAAATGGAGGAGTGACTGACATTGCCATTCATAGTGGCAAAGCTAAATAGACAGTCATGGACAAAGATATCAGCACCTGCATTTCTGTCAGATAATGCCCCACTTCCCTCAGAACATTGTCCAGGATTTCCCACTACTGTGCTTCTCAAATCCTCAGACAATTTTTTGCTCTTCTTTCTTTTCTCCGAGCTCAGTGTGGTCCACATGACACAAAGGTTGAGTCAACTTTTCTCCATTTTAACTGGTTGCAAGTGTGATTTCTGTATGGCCAGTAGGTGTTGGTTGCTACAGGTGAAGTTTCCTTACAAATTAAAGAAGCACCACAGGCTTGGAATGCAACTATTTCTGATGATTTTGAAACGGTGTCAATTCTGTCCAGTCCATGTTTGGAGTTCTGTGCGGAATGGATCAGATTTGGCGTTTTTGTGTTGCTCCAATGTAAACAAAAGAAATAAACATGAGAATACCAAAGACTTAGTGATTGCAACAATTCTCTGAGAGAAGTGGTGTGTTATCTGAGAGAAATGCAGCGGGGTCAGTATTTTTGTCCATGACTGTCCATTCAGAATTAGTGTCTCCTTTCACTGCAAACCTCAACAGGGAACTGATACACACACTGTCAGCACAATCAAGCTTAAAGCTTAATACGGTTAAACCCCTCAGTGTGGTTCTTGCATCCAAATCTTGACACACAAAATCCAATTTGCATTGAGTACATTATTAGACGTCAGTAGTGTAAACTAATAGCATTAGGATTTACTGAGACTTTTTTACTGAGAGTATATACAACATCAGGAACAGGCAGATGAATCCAGATGGAAGCTGTTGCGTTCTTATTAAGCCTTATAACATACTTGTAGACAAAGTGTAGCAGACTGATTAGACAAGGATTTTTAAGCCTCTAGATCAGTGCTTTTCAACCATTTTTTAATAATATACCCAACATCACTGTCAAATGAATTGCTGATAAACATTGCAGCCCAGTATAGTGTACTGTATATCCTCTAATCTTCCCAGTGCACGTACCATAGACCACGGTGTGTTATTTCACAAAGTTGGGATTCAGCTGATAGACTGACAGTTCAAATGGAAATGTGTGATAACTGAGTTGTTCAGGGCCTTCTAGTTCTTCTTCACAAGGTGGCCATGAGCGGTAAGGATAACAGGAAACAGACTTGCTTCCTTTGGGAACCGATGAGAGAAACTGCAACAACAGGGTGTATGTATATGCTGTTTTTCAGTCTTCCCCAGAGGACACATGTACACTTTGTATTGTGTCCTATCTGTTCGCAATTTAGGCCTACATCCTGTTTTCTGTCTTTGCTGAAATTGGATCGTGAGATTTGTGTAACTTTGCTGCAAGCCAGTAATAGCAAGCTGAGTAGTCCTGGAAACTGAGATGATCTTTTTTCTTACAGGAAGGAGAAGAGACAGGGTTTACATCCAAATAGGTGTGTTTATAGTTGTTTTTACATCTTTAATGGGAGTTAGATGATTGCAACAGGGCCAGGCTTTGGGACTTTATTTTACAGTGCGATAACTCTTCGCTTTGTAATAAACATAATTCTGGGTCAGTGTTTTACCCACAGGAAACAGAAGAGACAAATGCCTTACATTCAGTGGCATTATTAAAGGTGTTTGTTTTATCAGCATTAGTTTGCATCTTAAACAAGCTACAGTTGACAGTGTACAGTAGGCATTTACTCGTTGAAATCATTAAAGTAGGATGCTTTCAGAACGCATGTCACAAAATGCATATGTTGTTGTGCATCTCAGCTCTGCAAGCTGCAGCTCAAATGGCTTTCCCAAAATAGTCTTGTACTATAGTCCTCAGGAGCTGCCCTTTGATTGAATCATGCAAATGAGCTAAAACATCACAGCTATAATTGGGTTGTATAGTGTAATTGATCTTTAAAGACGAAGCCTTTATGAAAGTTTTAATTTTCTCTGAGATTAAATCTTTGGGATGTAAATGTCACGTGTGCTACCCTTTAGCTTGATGCTGAATGCTATTTGTTTTCATTAAGAATGGTTTGTAAAGTTGCCCTTTTTCTTGATTTACTGTCACGTACCATAGCTCCATTACTCTTTTTTTCTTCTTCAGTGTATGGCCATCGTTATAGATGAAGCCTTTGTGAATGCACAATTCTCCGTTTATTTCCAGGAACACCAGGAGAACTATACTGGGAAATGTTAATCCTTTATTTCATGTTTCAAAAATGTCTTAACTGAGATATGGATTGTTTAAAAACCGTTCATCAGCCTGATGTTATAATAAAAGTCATCATAGCAAGAAAATCACATATTTCCATCTCTTTTTGACCAAAAATTATTTATGACGGCATGTTAATAATCAAACTTTACTATTACTTGGCAGATAGCTACAGCACTACTCGTGCTACAGTGCATGTCATATTTGGTGAGATGTTAATTTAAAGCAGCATTATCTGCTTTGCTTTTTTACCTGCAGTAACTTGCACCTTTCTACAGTCCATGCATAGCGGTAAAACTGCGTGACAGCCAAGCACTTTACACACTGTCTGTGTTTCTGTCCCACTCCAATGGCTTTCACTCCAGACTCCACTCTCCCTCTGAGTTCTGCTTCTTAATCTCTAATGATGATTAATGTGGGCTGTGTGCGTATTGGCAGCACTGTGTTATTGGCATACTGACAAGGTTGTTAAGATGGATAACTATGCAACAGTGCGCATGTATGTGTGAGCACCAGCAGCAAAGCGCAGCCCCCTTTCCCTCTTCCCCCTTCTTGTTGCAGCTTAGCTGTGAAATCATTGATTTGTGTCTCTGGCCAATGGAGAAAATGGATTTGTGGAAAAACAACACCCAAACTTAGTCTCTGATTTTCTGTGTTTGTTGAGTGTGTTTAAAGTGTGCAGGAAGCAATGCAAACCCACCAGCAGTTACAATTTACTCACATCATCATGCAAAGGCACGTTCTCTTTTTACAAGTGTGTTCTACTTTTGTGTATGTGTATGTGCAGGAAATGGTACGTCGCGGGGAGATCTTGGATGACAGCATGGAGGATGAGTTCTACCTTCGTCGCCTGGATGCCGGATTGTTTGTCCTTCAGTTGATCTGCTACATTATGGTGGAGATCAGCAACTCAGGGATACCACAGGTACAAACAAGCACACACACATTGATTCTGGCTTGCCAAATGAGTTCTCTCTCAGATTAATTATTGTTAGGACATCTGATCATACAAGCTATAAAACCAGACAAGAGGCAGATGGTTTTTATTGGTGCTGTAGCCAAGTGGCTCAGTCACTTCACTACTAATCTGGGTGCTGCTTTTGGCATTTCAGGTTTGGACATAAAAGCTCTTTGTACCTGCAGCTTAAGTAGCTGCGGTCTAACTCACTTTATGCTCTTTTGGATCATAATCATAAATTAATGGGTCTTTTAAATTCCTTCATAGATGTTTAATATTCAGCTGAATATTCATCATGCCTCACAGCAGATACTGATGGCCACTGAAATTTAAATTCCCCTTACATACTGTAACTATAATGTGGCCATGGTGCAGATGTTTTCATTTATCAAACAGTTTTTGGACATATTTGTGAAAACGGCCTGTAAGGTTCAGTTCTCTGAATGATTGTTTCCCATAGCAGTGGCTGACTGACGTCTCAGAGCTGGTGTTTCCTGGAGATGCATTTTTAATTTCTGGGATGTGCTACTGAGTGGGAAGCATCACCTCCTTGTGTAGCCTACAAACATTGATACTAGACTTTGTTGTTTAATTCTTAAGCATTCACATTGTTATTTATGCACCATTAGCAATTTAAGACAGATTCCATTTACAACATTCAGGAGGACCCATTATGCTGTTAGGTTTGTATTTCATACTGAAAGTGGAAGCTAGCAAGTTAAGCTACATAACTTTTACTTAGAAAGTGAAGATAGTTAGCTTAGCTTGCTAATGCTAGCACTGATTTCTCTAGACATTACCTTTCATTCATGCAACTTCAACACCTGTTGAGTCATTGTTGGCAACTGTTGGCATGTGTTTGCCCCACGTTATAAAAAGTAGGGGGTCTAGCTAGCATTAGCTGTCTCTTCATCTATAGTGCTCACTAAAGTGGACAGCTATGTAAAAGCTGTGTTCTTATATGTGCATGGGTTCAGATTGTGTAGTTGCATATCACTCACTAGTGTGTCATCCCATACACTGCCACCCACTGGTCATCTGTTGTTTAGTGCAGCAATAATTTCTCAAAACCAAGATGGCCAACAGAAAGCCAGGAAGGCTGAGTAGCTTGCAAGTCTTCCTATAGGT